CGGGATTTAGGCGGCCGCCTGTTAGGCAGGTGCTGATTTGGGGAGGATCGTGTGGTGTGGCAGTGATTCCGGGGCGAGATCATGCCCGTGCAACCGAGATGCGGAGTCATTAAAATGCACGCGCTACCCGTTGTTATTCGACTCGCCGTGAAATCGCTCCGATGAAACGAAGCTACGTGCGTGCGCAAACATATCGACCGCGAGCCGCTCGAAAATCCCACTGTCCACCGTCTGCGGATGGCAAGTCAGCCCGTGGTGCGATTAACGCGGATGTATCTCGATGATGAATTTTTATTAGACAAATTTAGCTGACTGTCGACTCGAGAGTGAGAAACAATTCGGCGACGCAAGCGTACCAAGTACAGTGAATATCGCGGTTCTATCGCTTCGATCCGCAGACGAACGAAGAGCAACGAGGCTCTTTTGTGCTCGCAAGGCTGAAGAGCACGAGTCCCCTAAAACCCGAGAATAATTGCATGGTAGAAAAATAACGACTGCTGAACAGTCGTGCTCTGGGGATCTTAGAGACGGACCAAGGATTCTAGCATTCACGGAGTCCGGGGACCATTATTATAAATTTATCGCGACCTTCGGCGCGTTTGCATCCTGCGGACCTTGGACCCGCGTTTTCCGCCGCGCTTCCCACGCACGCCTCCTTTTAATAGAGAAGCCGCATAAATTCCCTTTGATATACGTCCAGGGCGGTAGCACTCGTACATGAAAATATCGCACGTACGGCTCGATCCATCACGGGGGAAACTTCCTTCTGCGCGCCACGCGCAGATCGTCCGAGCGGGCGAGCACGGGTTTCGCGAGCGGGAAGATCGCGCGCTTCGGCTATTAATAATCGTAAACGAGAAGTTCGCGTGTTTTTGCCGGACGCGCTCGCGCGACTTAATTTTTTAACGACCGTCCGCGGCGACGGGGCGCGGAAGGATCGCCGGGGGGGGGGGGCGCGAGACGCGGGCAAGAAAGATACGCGGGACGATAATCCGATGCGCATACTTGACAATAAACGCGGGAGAAGGGCTTCGCTTTAATAATATTCGCTCCAAGGGCGCGCAGCGGGACGACGGTGCTGAAATCGGTCCGTAATTAAAAGCCGCGTTACTTTTATCGTCGTCCACCCTTCCCCCTCCTGGACGGCCCTTCGCTCTGCCCGCTGCGGCCGGTCGGCTCCGTAGGTTTTTCTCGGTCGATCGCCTCTTCGCGCCGCGGACTGACTTCTCCTCGTGGCGAGGCGCGGTTATCGCGCCGTTCGGCCTCATTTAATAAGTAAGAACGACACGCCGGTAGCCGAGCGCGCATCGACGCGAGCAACGCCCACTAAATTGTTAACGGCGTCGACTCCGCGGCGATCTCTCGGGGATCGCGATGCAGGGTTTTTATGCAAATCGACCTGTGTATACGGCGTGTCCGCGAATCGATAACGGACACCCAATAAAGTCGTCTCCTTCCCTCCCTAATGCGAGCTCCTCTCCGCTCCTCGCGGCGTTTCGCGCTCCTCTTCTACGTTATTTCTCTCCCGCTCCTTTAATCTCGTAGAAACTTTGTCGCGCGATTCCCGGCGAGATTGTCTGCGTTAGATTAGGTAATGCTCGCTTCATGTCGCGCCCGTTTGACTATGCATTTGCGACGGAAGTACAAAGGTACCGTTCGCGACGGGGTAAGAGCTGCGCGATAAGAGCTCGGACTTCAGAGCTGACGGTGGAAAATCGCGAGAGTTTAGGTCCCCTCCTCCGCCCGGGGTACACAATTCTGAATTGAGCCTTCGGGATTTGTAATAAACAAGTCTCGGGAAACGGGGGAGAGAATTAATAACCGAGAGTTAAGGCCTCGCGTATGCCAACGAATTTACGCTTGAAATTATTCTATTTAAGTTATCCGTGTTATCTGTGGTGTAAGTATCGTGCATGTTCTCCGGGAATTAAGTTGGTCTTAGGGTATTAATATAAATTGCGTATCTCCCCCCCCCCTCTCTCTCTCTCTTTCGCTTCCTTCGCACCACCCTTTCTCGGACGCTCTCATTTCTTCTTCTCTCGTTTTTCTTTCTTGTTGATTCTTCTCATCGCCCTGGCGATCGCGGGACCGTCCGCGTACCTGTCGTGAGACACCTGCTCCGCGAGAGAGGTGAAACGCAATTAAATTGTTTATCCGATCGTAATGAGTCGGTAATCGCGACGCTTAAATGCGCCGTTAAGGTTTTCGGTGCCGATCGAGAGGGTCATTAACGATGCCACGGCGCGGCCGTGTCTGGCCGAGTTTCGCGCCGCGGATTTTTTCAGGCGCCCGGCCGAAAAGGAACACGGTCGCATTAATTGCGCGAGTTACGAGCGGCGGCGTCCTGAAATATGAGCTTAATTAATCGCGAAACGATCTCGCGCGGGAGATAGGCGCCCACCGCCGGACCGGGAGTTTTCGTGAAAGTGGCATCCAGCGCGGCCCAGCTGCGATCACGTGCAAATTGGAAGAGGCGTGACGAGAGTCCTGGCTCGCTTAACGCGCGCCGCGTTCCTTAATATATTTCTGAGGATCGGTGGGCGGTGCGAGGGCACCAGACGGTTTTTCGTAAAATATGGTACCGAATCCGAGACCCCGCGACCGAAGGCCCCGGCCTCCTTTCGGTGCGGGCTAATCAATTTTTAAACGCGAGGCGCTGCAGCGAGACGCCTGGAAATCGAACGTAAAACTCTCGATTTTGATACTTTACCGTAGTTTGCAACAATGTGGGGAGAGATCTGCGTCTGTCTTGCGCCCAGTTCGGGTTGTTATATGTAAAATCGATTATCCTGTGCTAATTTCTTTTTATTCTATCGCTTAAATACAGCGCAATCTCGCTAATCCGGCCTAGTAGAACCCAGTTAGTGCCCCGGGATTAATGAATTTGGACAACTGGAATGTACGGAATATAGATAAATGATTGAATGTGTCGGATCAGCGAGATTATACCGTATTATTATATTTTCTTTTCTTACTTGTCTCTAAATTGCATCTCCTTATTGAAATTAGTTTCAAAAATTGTAGAGTCCTTGACTTTCAGGCTCCTACTTTGTGTCTTGTGTTTTCCGCAGTGTAAATGCATACATCTACATTGGACTTCGAGAGCCTTCACTCTCTAAAAGTCAATCAGTGGATTATCACTGAAAACAGTGAACAGTCACTAATTTGTAATAATAAGTATACCACTGAAAAACGCAGTAAACCCCAGTTAGTGCCGGATTAATGAATTTGGATAATTGGAATGTACGGAATATACATAGGTGAATTATTGAATACGTCGAATCAGCGTGATTATACCGTATTATCATATATTATTTTTTTACTTATCTCTAAATTGCATTTCCTTATTTGAACGCGTTGAAATTAGTTTCAAAAATTTCAGAGTCCTTGACTTTTGAGTTCCTACTTTGTGTCTTGTGTTTTCCGCAGTGTAAATGCATACATCTACATTGGACTTCGAGAGCCTTTACTATCTAAAAGTCAATCAGTGGATTATCACTGAAAACAGTCATTAATTTACAAATCGCAGTGGTATACTTATAACTGCAAATCAGTGAGTATTCACTGTTTTCAGTGAGAAAGTCCGCTGATTGACTTTTAGAGAGCAGATCAAGAAATCTCAAGGATCCAAATTGATTCCTTTGTGATAGTATCATTGGTTTCTCGCGTCTGTTTGAATCCCAGGAGCAAAAGAGTCCGGACATTGTTGATATACGAACAAATTACATGAGACAAAAGAATAAAAGTGCCCTTTTTTCACGCAGGCACGATAGACGATTAACTAATGACGCAATCGCCGATTAACAACGTGATGTCAACACCAAAGGCGATTTCGCGTTGACGGCGTGACGCTGAACATAAGGAATACGCATTCGTATATGTACACAAATATACGTATTCTTTCCCGTCACGCCTGCAACCGCCTCGTAGCCGTAAACGTGGAAAGGAGAGAAAGAGAGGAGGAATGCACGACTCGCGGCAGGTGCGTCGTCATTCATGCAGATAGATTATCGCGGATAATTCGGAATCGGCCGCGTGCGCGCGCCCATTTCGGCGCCGATCTCGCATGCCTCGGCATTTAACGTTGTTGTAAATTTCCGCCACGAACGCGAGAGATCTAAGCGATAATTTAGCTGGCGCGGCGCGCGATTAAGGTGCCGACGTTCTAATGGGATGTAATGATCGGCCGTGACGCCACGATCGGAGAGGAGCCCCGCGTGTCGATAGGTCGGATCCTCGCGATGCGAGGCGCGATGCAAGAAGCGAGCACGGATGGCCGCGCAAAAAAGACCCGTCCCGGAAATATAAAATGGCGGAACGCCAGTTGAAACGCGGGGCGTATAATATTAGGATAGAGAGATAAAGGGAAATAAAAAGGAGGAGCCTCGATTCCCGGCGGCGATTTTAAGAGCCGTTCGATCGTCAGCCTTCATCGTCGGCACCATCGTCATTCGATCTCGCCATTTCATCCGAGCGCTTTTCGAGGGCAATTAAATCCGTCCCTTGGATCCGGGGGGGTTGATTCGCGTGAGAAGAAATCGAGGAAATCGTCGGCCGGATGACGTATACGCTGACACTCTAATCGCGTTTTAATTAACCCCTTCCAGTAGGACGTCGGCGCCGTGCCGACACGGGAGTTATAGATATTTCATTCGAAAATATAGGTTTTAATTTAGCGGTCGCTCGATCAACGTCCGGCCGTTATAAATGGACGCTATGATTGCTCGTTACACCGCTATGCAGAAAAGCGTTCGCCGGGACCGAACGATTTGGAACTCCCGGCGAGGAGAGACGGAGCGACGCAGACAGATTAGCTACTAGGCCGGCCGAGGCATATTTTAATCGAGTTTTATAATTATTATTCGATTAGTTAGCGACGTGACGTCGCCGCGTCGGCGCGAATTTTACGCTGAAAACCCTCGGACGCTTTTCGCGACTGCGATTATCGGTATCCGAGGAAATATTACTGTGTCACATTTTTCTCGTGAGCTCCAACTTACCGGTCGAAGTCAGTGAGTCTCGACGAATCCCTGAAACCCTTGGCGAACGGATTACTATCGATCTTCAGTCTCGTTATCTACAAGAAACATATTATTTCATTCAGTTTGATATTTCTCCTAAAGGGGACGCTGGAGTGATTCTGCACTTTTGCACCTTTCTAACCTAGAAACTGTCAGATCACGGAAACATTTCTGTAATGTACAAATTAAATGGCTTACGTGTACAGATCGAAAGTAGCTTGTTATTCCGGCTAAATGAAAGAACAATATGGCATCACTGAAACTAAGTTTGTAAGTCTAATAAAAAAATAACAGTCAGCAACACACGTACTACATGTACTGTATGTGAGTATTGCTCACTATTATTTTTTATTAGACTTATAAACTTAGTTTCAGTGACGCCATGTCGTTCTTTAATTTAGCCGGAATAGCAAGCTGCTTTCGATCTGTACACGTAAGCCATTTAATTTGTATGTTACACAATTAAATGTTTCTACGAAACAGACAGTTTTAAGTGCAAGAGGTGCAAAAGTGCAGAAACACTCCAGCATCTCCTTAAAATAGTTTAAATGGTTAAGGTGGCTCCTGCATAAACCGACCGAAAGTAGAAAAAATTGAAATTTAAGTATTTATCTAACAGTACGCGAAATTTCAGACCCGGTCGACGATGAAATAAAATAAAGAAAAATATGTTAAAGTTGTGTTTTTTAACATTCCAGTAAACACCAAGTAACAGTTACACAATTGGAAAATTTGTGTTTTCTTGTTAAAGAAAATGTCGGTAAAATTTTTGTGTTAAATGTTTAACACATTCATGTGTTAATTTAACATATTGCTCTTGTGTTAATTGACCTTAAAATTGTATTGACTGTTAGTGTTAATTGACTGTAAAATTATTAAAATCCTTGAAAAGAAATGTTAAAACAACACAATTTGTACTTACAAATACAATTGTATCTAGCAATTTTAATAATACAAACCCTGACTGAGGTAATATTTTTTGCAATAAATTTTCTGTATTGTTAAAATTGCCAGATACGGTCAAGAAAACACTGACGTTGTTAATATTATTTTACAGAAAAAGTAAATCTTAACAAAAAACGAGATAACATAATAAATGTCACGAGGATTGAAATGTGCTATTAAGTATACGAGATGACCGACCTCTGCAAGCAAATACTTATTAGTAATGTCAAAAGATACAAGTCATACGAATTTATAAAAATCAAAAGGGCCCCACCAAAGCACCCATACCAGCCGCTCCTTCGTGCAGGAGCCACCTTAAATGCAATCGAACAGCGAGAAAAGATTCTTCCATCGAGAACAAGTCTTTTATTATTAGACGTTGACAGCTCTACATGGTGAAATATAAAATGAGGGGAGGAATGTACATATACGTCTAACTAACGCGAGGGACCGCGAGGGTCCCGCTTCTCGAGCGACACGAGAAAATTGAAGGCCTCGAGAACTAATTCCCCGTGTCGAGAGTCACGGCCTCAATCTCGCGATGTAAATATTCGCCGGACTTTTCGAATCGTCCGCCTGTCGAGAGTTTAACGCTACGCTGTATAATCTACTGTTATTCGACGAGACGTCTGGACTCACCAGCTGATTCTGATACGCCGTGACGGCGGTGAAAATGGCCTCCGGAAAGATAAACGTCTTGTGCGCCTCCTTCTGGATGTCTTTGATGTCCAGGCTGCTGTCGTCGGTGTGTTGGCAGCGGACCAAGTGTATCCTCGGCTGATACCTGTGCATCGAATTCAGTACGATCTGCAACAACAACAAGAACTGCCGTTCGATTACCGACTCCCTCACGGGATTAAGCGCGAAAAATTGATTCCCGCGTCTTCTCCTAATGAATTCCGCGCGCGGGATTGCGCGGCGCGTCCCCGCAATAACAGTAAAATACGATTATCGCGTCGCGATCGGCATACGATGCTCCGTGGCGAACGCGCGCCTTAAGTCGCCGATTATCGCAAGTTACCGGGTAATTATTTAGCCTGTGTGTCTCTACACTTAATTGCGCGTTAATATATTTCGAGACGGGGGGACGCTGGGCTCCAGTTATCGCGGGTAGATTATCAGCGGAAGGTGGGACGCCTCTATCTTACTCCCGCTTGACTTTTACGTTCTCTAGAAATGGGTCAAAGCGGTCCATAGTGTAATCTTCCTAATGGATACGGGAGATAATAAATATAGAAACCGAGAAAGCGACGCAGAGCGGCGTGGAGCAGCCGCTATCGAATTTTAAGCCGATTCGCTCGGCGGAAATTCGTTCCGAGTTAAAATTTCAACCGCGCGAGGCCCGCCCCAAACGTTAAACGGGAGCGACCGCTTTATCGCGCGTCCCGTTGCCGCGGGATCCCGTTTCGGGGTCCCTTCATTCCCGAATGTAACAAATAAGAAGCGGACAGCGATGGCGTCTCCCGTCATTCGCGCGAAGCTCCCGCGCGAGTATCCGCGCCGTGACGCCGTCGCACGGAGAAGTCGCGCGGATAGGCGGGTTCAAAGTTTCACGCGGGGGATCCCCCGCTGCCGGCGCGGCGCGGCGGAGAGACGCTCTGTCGCAGGTACACACATAGATACCGTGGATAGCGGGCGGCGCTACGGCCGGGGCGAAGTTCCCCCGTATCGATTTCCTGTCCGAAACAATGTGGCGCGACGAAACAAATTCCCCGCGACGGTATCGTGTAACGCGCGAGCAGCCGCACGCGCATCGCGCCCCGCGCGTTTGCCTCCGCCTCGCCGTTTTCGGGGTCGGGAGAGGGGGGGGGGGCGCGATCCGCCGCGCGACGAGACGTACAGGGTGATTAGGACTCCGGGGATGGTTCGGATTAAAATTAACTCCTGCGAGAGGGCGGGGAGGGGGAGGGAGAGGAACGCGAGAGAGGCAGAGAGAGACTAATTAGACGTTGAAGATGAAACGCGACGCTCGTATCTCGTGAGCCGCGCGGGAATATCCAAATTACGCGTTTCGAGTAAATTACGCGCGGAGGAATCGCGAAATTAGAAGAGGCCGCGTGTGCCACGGGCTGTCGCCCGCGCGTTTGTACAAACACTGCCTTCGGAGACAGATGTGAATTCAATAGACCTCGGGAGACGACGGACGGCCGCGGCCGCTAATTACCGAAATCGAGCCGGTCCGACGGGCTCGTTAGCATACATCGGGGAATGATCCTAGCTAGAACCGAGAAGGCCTGGGTCTCTCCGGCGCGACGGAGCGAACGGACGGGGCCGAGGCGCGAGAGAGAGAGAGGGGGGGAAGGGGGGGAGTGCGACGGTAGCCGGACTTATATATTATCGCTAATATGAAATATGGAGGCGGCTGCGGTGCCGCAACTGTTGAGACTTAACGGCTGCAGGTGGCCCGGGCGAGTCTCTGGGCATTTTCGGGGGCCCTTCTCGCCCGGCCCTGACTTTTAAGTCCCGTTCGCGCGACCGGATCTCTTCGGTCCCCGGCCATATACACGCGCACACGCGGACAAACGGACGCGTATTATTGTGCGCGTGTATATGTGCACGCATATCCGCGACATTATCGCCGACTTCGATGCCAGGCAACAGGCAGTAAGAAATAGGGAATAACGGACATAACCCAATTCCGGCTTACTCGAGATTGTGTATCGACGCGTAATATGGAATAGGAATAGAATTTTCGACGAATCGGAAATCCTATTGCCTGTTCCTGTTTTCATTGTCTGGCACTGTGTGACACGCGGAGTGAATTTCCTCTCAAATTTCACCTTGGAAGTCATGTATAATCGTGGGCCAACATGACACTTTGAAGAACTGTGTAAGATTTTTTTGAAAGTTTACATGACATTTTAGAAAAATAATAAAATACATGCTACGGATAATTACTGGTAAAACGTGAAAAAAAGTCTCATAAAAATGTGCGAAATGCCCCGCGATTACGTGATTTTCAGGCTAAATTTTAAGAGAAGTCTCCCCGCGTAGGCTTTATTCCGGTTTAAAAACTCGACGATCGTCTCGATTTCCCGAGAACGGGATCGCACGCGTGCGAACAACGGCTTCAGTCGTTCGGGAAAATCGCTATTGTCGAGCGATGAAACGGATACTTTGTCCTGCGAAACAGAGACAGTCGTTTCACCATCCGACAACTCGATTCGTAATCCGGCCGATTGTTGAACCCTTATGAAGTATCCTCGCTATCTTCGCGAGTACAAATTGCACGCCTCTTGGACGTATTTTTATTTCGTTGATCGTCGGGATGCGGGAAAGACGATGGCTCGATGCGGGCACGCGTTTCGCTACGGCGAAATTGTGTCCGTAGGAGTTTTACGACACATTGTAGATTACAATCGTAAGAACGCGCCTCGTCGATGGGACGTGTTCTCACCACGATCATTCGCGCTCAAGACAAATACATAAATAGCCACATTGTGGCGCCGAACACGGGAGATAATTTACGATACGCGGCTGACAGCTAAATAAAAGTGTTTATCGATTAAAATCCATTTCTCTAAAAACAAACAAAGGCACCTGTAACGATAATTATAGTGTCTTCGAAACCGAGAGATTTTAAAGAAAAAACATGGAGAATTAGACTGTAACATACAATGTTTCCACAAAACGTCGAAGATGCGGAGATCCAGTAAAATTAATATATTTATAAATCCAGTGTATTTAGGCTCTCAAAATATACAAAACAGTGGAGGGTATAAAGGCAGGCTAATGCAGGTAATAAGGCGTAGTATTTAAAATAGTCATGGATAATTTAATAATAGAATGTAAAATACAAACGTTTTGATCCACTCCGGGTCACCTTCAATGCAAAGAAATACAACTAAAAAAATTAACGTAAAGAGTTTGACGCCAGTATATGATTAACCAATGTAGAAAAATTGTTAAACGACGCTAACTGGCAAATTCTAATGTAAAGAAATTTATTGCCAAAAATATTGTACACTCTAGGCGGGCGTCTCACCAGTTGGACCACTCAGGCAATTTTTCCCAATAAATTTCTTTAATTAGAATTTGCCAGTTGGCGTCGTTTAACAATTTTTCTACATTAAAAAAATTCAAAAAATAAAAATAAAGAAGAAGAAAACATAAAGTCAATATATTGTAACATCTGAGCGAAAATTACATCGGTAAATTCCAAGGCAAAACGACCCGGGGTTGCGAAAATTACATCGGTAAATTCCAAGGCAAAACGACCCGGGGTTGCGCGGCTTTTAAGAAATTCAGAGTTAGAAGTTTAAAGATTTCAAAGCTAAGCGTTCCGAGATTTAATTTCTAAACCTTTACTTGATATTTAGTATTAAATACAACGATCGTATGTCACAGTCTAAATCTCAATGTTGCGAGTCACGTCGCTCCGCGAGATTTCCTGTTTTTCCACATCGTCAGGTTTCTCGCGTAAATACGTTTTTCCTCCCAAAAAAATCTCACTTTGCGTGCCGTAAACGACGCAAATACTTTTTCCGTTCAATCGATTAGAGTCCATTTGTAATAATTAGCCACGAAAGGCTACCGAGAAACCGATCCGCTCTCCGGCGCGATTTGCATGCGGCGATTTATCAAAGATCGCGTCATCCACGTAATACATGTTGATAGCGGCATTACACGGGCGATTTATTGGCGTTTTTCTCCCCACGCCCGGTAGATAGCAATCACGACGGAATGCCAGGTCGATCGTTAATCCGAGTCTCAATTAATACAAACGTGTTTCTAGATATGTTATATATCGTAGATAGCGTAGCGGGATATCCCGCCGGCGATTTTGTAGCGAAAATGGAAATTTAAATATCTCCGCGAAAAGGAGAGATCAGTCACAGCGGGGACTCGCGATGATTTAAAAGACCGTAAATTCCAGCGATGATTAAAGGACCATAAATAACCAGGATCCGATAAAAATCAAGGATAGAAAAGATCCGAAAGTCTGACAAATTAAGGACTTGCGGATTTGCGGATTCAGAGAGGCGCGAGAAGAATCCAAAGATCACGGTTATATATTTTTAGAGTCCCAATACTTGGTGTAAAATGCGTAAAGGTAACTTTCGCGGAGTCTCCGATCGAAGGTTCCGACAATTGTAAAAAAAAAAAACCGCAGGACTTTTGCCAGGACGCGGAACAGAAAACGCTACATTTGTGGCTCTGATTGTACAATTTGGATCGCCGCACATTTATCGCACATTCACGCGACGCGCCGAAAGGCGCCGCGGCTCGCGGCGGGAGCGCAAATTTCCGAGCGCGTCGCGGCGCGGAATAAAATGACGGACGAAGGTCCGAAGGGACGAGGGCGAGTCGCCGTTTAGGGTACAACCGGGTATAATGGAGTCCGCCGAGCGCGCTCACTTCGGTAACTTTGCATTAATATCACGCGCGCGGTTCGCGCGGCGCGAGTCCGCGCGCTACCGGGGCGGACAAATAAACTCGCGCGCCTCTCGGCTACCTGTCGCGAGCATTAAACCAGTTTTCAAAAATATCGCCGGTGATCTCGCGGCCGGGCGAAAAACAACGCGCCACGTCGCGACGTCCGGAATACATGCGTGTACGCACACACACTCGCGCGCGCGCGTCACGGATCGGAATGCGCGCGAGAGCGAGTTCGGTTGTGTTGCGGCGACGGAAATCGTACGTTTTCTTTTTCCTCCTTTCTCACGAGCTCTCGCGCTCGTCCTCTCCGTCCTCCGCGTTTCCTCGCCCCCTCGCGTCCCCGTCCCGCTTCCACGCGCGCCCGGAGCAGACCCGTGGATTATGCGGATCCGCGCGCGGAGTATACCCGCAACGTGAGCGTATATAAT